CACAATAGAGTGCACACCGCAGCTACTCCTGTGAGGTGAAGGGGCGGTCTACCGTGGAGGGCGTCGCCGCGGGTTAGGCAAGAGGTGAGGAGTGGGCTTCGGTTAGTTACGTGACTGAGCGGAAAACATGGACCCACATTTCCCGAAAATCGGAGAAACCAAGACAGGGTCTGTGAAAAAAGTTAAATCGCGGTGAATGCGGCGTAACATCTGTAAATGCCACATCCCACGCCTCCACCCGAAAGCAGTGAATGGAGGTGACGGCCAAGAACACGACACCTCCGTGTGCATAGGTGGTCGAGCGGATGAAAGCGGTGGTTACTTGTGTAGTCACGTCTCTTCTGAACAGAGAGCATGCACGTTTTCTCCGCGCATTCCACCTGGGGGTTGTTACTAGTCGGGTTGTTGTCGCGGGTTGTTGATGGGCTGATCATCAGGAGTGTCTCGACTTACCTGATCTCGTGGTCGAACGCGCTGTTGTTGTGAGGAGCTGGCGTAAGATGCGCTGCTGGGTGCGGGGTGTGTAGAAAACAGAATGTGGTTGTGAGGGGCGGTGGGTAAGACTTGGACTTCGCATGAGGACCGGACTTCGCGTTCAAGAGCGGTCCCGAACCGGACGACCGCTTCGCGATGAAGAACGGTCCCGAAGCGACGCCAACCCGTCGATTTGATTCCGAAAACCAAACCAAATGTGCCACATGCCACGTACAGCATCCAACCGAGCACGACACAGGGGAGCTGATCCGCCTTGATTTATTTGGAAAGTTTTGCCGCGTAGATCAACAAAAAGGAGCTAAATCATGCTGCAACAAGTTGTCAAGAGACACTGCGAGGTTTTCCTGTGACGGCAGAATATTATTCTTCGGACGCGGCATGTCCTGCTGTTGCTGACCTGCGCCAACGGCTGCGCCGCTTGTGCATTAGAAGTTTACTGCTGTCGTGCTCTCTCAATCAACAGCACACGCGAGCAAGCGTTTAACGTGTAGTCTAGACTATGTAGCTGACTTTCCACACTACACGCGCCGGAGGAGTAGTCTAGAGAGCTGCCCGAACGTAGCGGCAGAAAGGGTTGCGAGGAGAGTAGGTTCACGTAGAGTCTAGTAGACGACAGCGTGCATTCACACACAAAGTAGGATTTCGCTGGACGGCGTAGGCATCTGTGTTTTGACATACGTAACTGCCTCTGTAGTCTAATACACCTACTCCGCTGTGAAATGAACCCACAGCAGTACACCACAACGCCCGTTGCACAGACGCAGCGGCTAACATGAAAGTGATCATGTGTGGGAACCGTTCGGCAAGGTGAATGGGTGATAAAAATGGATGCACTGCCTCGATCCCCGCAGACAGGTCAGTCAACACAGGGCCAGAGCACAGCATTGCGTTCCTGCCAAAGACAACAGGGGGTCATCCAAGCTTGGGTTTGGTCGCCTATCAGGGAGAACCCATGATGTACTGCTGCTGTTGAAGGGAGATGAGCCAAGTTCTTCCATTTGCGAGCCAGGTACGGTGCCTCTCTCACAGGTGAATTCGCATGAGAACGGGGCGGGGATTCGATGACAACAATTGCACCCACCCGCAGGTCTCGGCAGCGTGGTGTAGACGCTCTACCGCGACGTCGATGCTGTCAACCAGAGATACCTTCTATGTATTGTATAGGGCTACAAGGTACATGCAGATGGCAGGAGCGTGGTGCACGACGGCAACTCAACGCATGCCTTATGTTGCAAGAGAAAATTGGAACGGAACGAGTTGGCGTCGGGGTTGCGCCGTATCTCTTGAAATCATCACGTGGCTACTGCTGTGTTGTTGAAGCGGTTTGTATTTGTAAGCGGACTCAAACGAGGTGAAGTCGTCTTCGTCCCCTCCGTTGGTCCCCCACAAGTTTGATATGCCAATCGAACCAATGGTCTGGAAAGAATAGAACGTCGATGTTCGAAATTATGTGCATTTATTGCAGCGTTGTTCTGCTGTACGCCTCATGCAATCACAATATCATCGTAATTGTGTCCATGGAGTCTCCATGGTTGTTCATCTGTTTGCGTTTCAGGGCGTAGTCTATTGATGTGGAGAGTGNTGCTACGAGTATATCGAATAGCCCCCCTGCTCGTATGCATCGTCATGCTGCGGGAAAATATCATAAGTCATCCTTCTCATACCAGTCAAACCCGTACATATCCTCTCTCTTCCACTCCGCGGCAAAACACGATTTGATCCCAAAACACTTCTTTCTGCAAATTCATCACAAAGTCCCTGTGCAACGCAAAAGATTCCTTGCTGATAGCCTTCGTCAAGAAATCTGCATGCTGAAACTCCGACGTCACATGCGTAATCGAAATCTCCTTCCTCTCTACCAGTTCCCTGATAAAGTGATGCCGTACATCGATGTGCTTCGAGTTTGAGTTCGTGATCGGGTTGTGCGCAATCTGAATCGCTCCCTGATTATCCTCGAAGACCGGAATGCACGGCATACCTGCATCTGGCAACATAAAACGCCAAACCTGCCTCAAGAAAAGCACTTCCTTCAAGACGTCGGCAATTGCCACATACTCTGCTTCCGTTGTGGAGAGCGTGACGTACTTCTGCGTCCTCGAAAACCAAGTCACACACCCACCCCCACACGTCACTAGTCCTCCTGAGACCGACCTACGGTCTGCTGCCTTGCTTGCATAGTCGGCATCCACAAACACCTGCATGCTCATGCCAGTGACCACTCCCCTCTCAAATGTAATCCCCATCCAACTCGTCCTACGCACGTACCCTAAAATACCAAGTGCTGCCTTCCAGTGCACCATCTTGGGAGACGCGCAATACCGCGCTACTGCTCGTACTGCATTCGCGATGTCCGGCCTGGTTTGAGTGGCCAACCACATNCACGTACCCTAAAATACCGAGTGCTGCCTTCCAGTGCACCATCTTGGGACACGCGCAATACCGCGCTACTGATAGTACTGCATTCGCGATGTCAGGCCTGGTTTGAGTGGCCAACCACATCAGGGATCCTACCAACTCGCGAAACGGGACATCAGCACACGCTTCGTTTTCGTCAAAGTCGGTGAGCTTCACGCTCACAGGCAAGGGCACACTCTTCCCCCACTCAACGCCGTACTCTGCAGCCAACTCTTCTGCAAACCTTTGCTGCGAGATCCTCAAAAGGCCTCTCTCTAGATCTCTCTGGTAAAAGCGCGCGGAGTACCATCTCAACTCCCCAAGGTTTTTCACGGGGACCATCTCGTTGAGGTCACTGCCAAACTTGTCACACCTCTCCTGCCCTACGGCAAAAACGACATCCACGTGGACCACAATGATCATGATCACACATCCATCCTCCATCAATCGAAAAACACATGCATCCGCCAAACATTGCACAAATCCTAAAAGTAACAAACACCTCGTCAGGTGCGCATGCCA